TGTTATTATAGAAATATGAAATTAATTAATAACTAAAATCTGCTTTCAGTGATTAAATACATTCTTTTAATTGTACATCGTTAGATAGAAATGAAAAATTCAAGAGAAAACAATGAAAGATAGAAAAAAATCATACAGTGTATAATATATGTGCACTGTATTCTAATAGTTCCATACCATTACATTCATGTTAATACATGTATTATGTTATACCATATAAACATAGTATAGAAGATATTTATTTTAATATGCTGACATAATTAAAACAGTTATCTATAAATGTAGCTACTTTGTAAAGCTACGATAAACTTTATTTTAGGATAAAATTGAATTCATAAAAACTACCTGTATAGTACTTAACTTTAAATAGACACTCGCGTTGCTACATTAATTCTCTATAATTTGTCAGTATTTTTCTGGACAGATAAGAATTATTTAAGCATTTTCACATTGATATAATTCTTTATCAAAATTGCAATATTTTGTTAAAAAATTATTCAAACTACTTGCGATAATAAGCAAAGTATAAAATTTATTAAAAGTACTTATAATTATATATATCTGTAAGTCACAAAAAACTTTTGCGTCCTAGATTAAAGAATTAATAAATGTATATATTGTTAACATAAATTATATTTAATATAACGTAAAAATAATTCAAAGTTTTCCTTCAAAATAATTATTGCAAGTAAAAAATCGTTTACATAACGATCACGAAAAGGAGAAACAATAATTGATAAATAATGTCTCAGATATGAATAAATATAAGTATCTGATGTTTTATGTGTACAGCTATAGAACCTTATATTCTCCTTATTATTGTAAATATATATTTACAGCCTATAGTATTTATTAACAGAAGATTAATATATATTATTCACATTTTAAAAATATATCATTGCATTAGTTTTAAATGAAACTTTTTCTCTTTCTACATCTTTTTTGTAAGATAAATATCTATTAAATATATATAATATTTGTGAAATTTTACGTTAAATACTTATATTTTTTATAATCAAATTAAAGATTATTAAAAAATTAAATTAAAATTTTTTTAATTATGTGTAGATAATTATTAGATATATGAGTATGATATATTTATGTAGAATGTCTGATTTCATTTAACAAAGAAATATGAACAAATAATGACAATTGTCTCAAATATGTATTATTTTTTAATCGACATAGGCTATAGTAACAAATGAATGTAATGTACCTGTGAATATATTATTCTGTATCTGTCTATAATTAGAAAAGTATTAAATATATAATGTTAGTTTAATATCAATGCAATACAATTATTTAGCAATATTTTTATCTTTCTCATTTCTTGTTTTAATGCAATTCTATTACCATTAAATAATAATGAATTAAAATATTCTTTAACTTAAATGAGTACTCTTTATTTATAATCGGCATCACGTGCTAAAACAGCTGATCAGAATATCTTATCATTGAGAAATGTGAAGATAACAATTACCTTCTTAATATACATGTTAATATTTATACACGTAATTATAATTTAAAATGAATATTTTTGTAAAATTAGATGAAAATGAAATCGAAATGATCAAGAATATAAAAATTAACTTTGAGGTTATTTCATTTTCAAAGAAATCTTAAAATTATCTCTGCAAATTGAAGTTACGAGTTATCATTTTTCAAGATTAATTCAGAAGGATGACTATTCTTTGTAAATTTCTTGCAACTAATATTATTCGTCATAAATCCATTTATCTTTCTACTTCTGTAAGGCAAAAATGTGTACATACAATTTGGACCTCATCGAGAAATGTATCAAAAAAACCATGTACTTTAATTGGTTTACGATATCAAACAACAAAAGTTTTAAAAACAGATGTTCAAAATGCCCCTAAAAATGTGATATTAAAAACAAAAAAACAATCGGATCTTAAAAAATTGATTATATTGGCTGCACCTGAAAAATGGAGGTTATTAAGTGCTATTGCTTTTTTAATAGTATCATCTACTGTAACGATGGCAGTTCCTTTTTGTCTAGGAAAAGTAATTGATATTATTTATAATGTGAATGTAGACAAAATGACAGAAAAATTAAATCAATTATGTATTGTTTTATTTGGAGTATTTATGATTGGTGCTATAAGTAATTTTTGTCGTATTTATCTAATGTCAACTGCAGGCCATAGAATTACATATACTTTAAGGAAAAAAGCATACACAGCAATCCTCAGTCAAGAGACAGCAATGTTTGATACGAAGAGTACAGGAGAACTTGTTGGAAGATTAACAGGTAAGCTTTGTACATATACTCTGTTGTTTAATCATTTACCTTTATCTTTTTTCTTTTATTATACATATTACAGCATATAGAAAATTCATATTAGAAATTTGAATGTAACACATATCATATTTATAGGAGATGCTCAATTAGTAAGTTATGCTGTTACTAGCAATGTATCTGATGGCTTAAGATCTTTAATTATGACGACAAGTGGAATATCAATGATGTTTTATATATCACCGCAGTTAGCTCTTGTTGGTTTGTCAGTAGTACCTATAGTTGCTGGTATAGCTATCATTAATGGACGTTACTTGAAAAAAATCTCAAGAAATGTACAAGATAGTTTGGCAGTATTAAATACAGAGGCAGAAGAAAGAATTAGTAATATAAGAATTGTCAAAGCTTATGCGCAAGAAATTCAAGAAGTTAAAAGATATAGTTCTAAATTACAAGACGTTCTTAAATTATGTTATAAAGAAAGTTTATATAGAGGGATATTTTTTGGTATGACAGGTTTATCTGGGAATGTAATTATATTATCTGCACTCTATTATGGTGGAGTTATGGTATCTGATTCAACTATAACAATTGGAAATTTGAGTGCTTTTCTATTATATGCGGCATACGTAGGAATATCATTGAATGGATTATCTTCATTTTACAGTGAATTGAACAAAGCTTTGGGCGCAAGTTCACATTTATTTGAATTAATTGACAGAAAACCAAAAATACCTATTAAAGGTGGTAAAATATTGGAGAACGAATTGACTGGTGATATTATATTTCAAAATGTTAATTTTTCATATCCTACAAGACAAAATTCGCTTATTCTTCGTGATTTTAATTTACATATACCAAAACATTCAATAACTGCTATTGTTGGTTCCTCTGGCTCTGGAAAATCTACAGTAGCTATGTTATTATTAAGACTTTATGATCCATGTAAAGGAAGTGTATTATTGGATGATCATGATCTCAAAGAGCTCGATCCAATTTGGGTAAAATCACAAATTGGAGTAGTTCCTCAAGAACCAATTCTCTTTAGTGGTACTATAAAGGAAAATATTCTTTATGGTACAGAAAATGTAACAGAACATGAAATAGAAGAAATTTCAAAGAAGGCACACGTTTTAGAATTTACAAATAAAATGAAAGATGGTTTAAATACTATTGTTGGAGAAAAAGGCATTACACTTAGCGGAGGTCAAAGACAGAGAATTGCTATTGCAAGAGCTTTAGTGAAGGTAGGTACAAGCATTTTAAATTACTTTTAATTTGTACATGAATATATCGTATTTAATTTCGAATAATATTTTTAATATATTTGTTCAGAAACCTAAAATTTTAATTTTTGACGAAGCGACTAGTGCATTAGATGCAGAAAGTGAACGTTTTGTTCAAGAAGCATTAGAACATGCTACTCATGGGAAAACAGTACTTACTATAGCTCATAGACTTAGTACAATAAAAAATGCTGACAAAATTGTGGTAATAGATCAAGGAGAAGTTGTAGAAATAGGAACATATAGTACCTTAATGAGTTTGGAACAAGGTTACTTTAAAAACTTGGTAAAACATCAAGCTTTTACATAAATTAAATTAAATTGACATGTAGATTTTTTAAATGCAATTTTTTTTTGTATACTGTACATTCGTGTATATTAAGTATATTATTAAAAAAGAATAATAATAAAAAAAATATATGTAGTTATAAACTAAATGATAAGTGTTTGTTTATTTTTATTCAGAGGGAAGCATGAACTTTAGAAAAATATATGTTATTTACTTTTATGCACATTGGATGAATAAATAATATAAACTTTCTATAAAAATATTATATGACTTATATTTTGCATAATAAGAATAACCAATTAACAATAAAGTATGAGAAATGCTATAATAAATTAAGATGATATATATTTAATGCTTTTTTAAGACTTTTAATAACAGGGGTAGGATGTAAGAATGAATTATGAAATCAATGTAAAGATGTATAATACCATGTATTATTTTTTCTTACATACAGTAATCTATATATCTAAAATTTTTGCTGGTACCCAAGCCTTAAATATAATGCATGTAGTATTATACAGAACAATATGATTGAAGTCATTTTGATAAAAACATAGACTGGTTTTAATATGTCTTTAATCTATAAGGCAGATGTTATAAATAATTCCATTTTGGTAATAATCCTCATGTATTTTGCTATAAAACAATATACACAGCTAATTTAAGTTATTCATGTTCTTATAATAATATTATTCTATATAACCTTTAAATTAATATGCCATAATATGATATAATTACTGTATAATTTATCATCTTGTTAGTTTTGCATTTTGGATCAAAGTTCAGCATACATATATATGTCATTCAAACATTTGGTTAAATCGGTATATATGTACTGAACTTACTTTCAAAGTTAACTATATTCTTATATAAATTTTGAAATCAATCTTTTCTTCATTAAAAGCATAGCAAGACATGGAGAGAGCAATGCTATCTTTTTAGTTACAAGAAAAATGCTTGTCATTGCTATACTTTTTTTCTCATAGCAAACACGCATAATAGAGACATTCACTCATTGATGATAATCTAAAGTCATATTGGAATTTATATTTTAATCATCATTTATTATTTTTATAGTTCAAATATTTGTATCTCAGTCAACTTTTATCAAAGTCGGTCTTACAATGGAATTGTTGGATAGCTTTTCAAAATAATGCGAATTAAACACTTCCAAATATCATTATTTTGAAAAGTTCTATGTGTTTGTTTCTCTATATAAGACAACCTTGAAGTCAGCTTTACGATCAAGGCTTGTATTAAAAAGATTTTATAAAGGCTACAGTCATATTTTTAGCTAATTGTATGACTTAATCACAATTGGCTTATACGAGTAATCGTATATATTGATTTTCTTCAACTATTAATAAGCCTTTACTTTTGTATTACAATAGTCATACATATTAGAAAGAAATACAACTCTAACCTAAGCAAATATATATCAACAGTATTTATATAAATCTACATTGAAATTTTTACAAAGTGCATTGAAATATATATATGGATACCAATCCCTGATCATAAAACAAACTTTTAATATTATAATGTTTTAGGAAAAGGCAGTGTTTTGTTATTTTTAAGACTTTCCAAATTTATTTTTATACACTTTTGCATAAATATCAGAATTTAATCAAGTATATTACAAATGCAATTAATAAAGCATTAAATATCTTTAATTAATATATTCGAGTATAAAGTATTGGAAAATAATAAACCGTCAGAAAGTTAAACAAAAAAAGCAGTCATAATAAATCAGAAATAATACTATCAATACCAAGGATACTGTAAAGATTTTTTTCTTTTTTTCGTGTGCACGTTTATTGTTCGCATAAATTTCTGCTTTAATGGTTGTAGTTAAAATAGAAATGATTTGTGAAAAAACCAATATTTATTTTATACATTCTACATTAACTTTTGGCTAGCTCTATTGTTTCCTGCTCCATTGGTTCACCTTGAAACATTGATAATGATTCATCATCATCTACATCCATCAATTCCATTGAATCACATTCGTTTTTACACACAGTACTATCTACTATCAAAGAGTCATTTTCTTTTACTTTACAAGTAGATTTTGTCTTATTACCTTCAATGTCTTCTAAATCATGATTCTTGTTAGAAATTAATTTTTCTTTTATTGTTGATTGACAATTAGTATTTGATGCATCATTTTTTACTTCTTCTATCTCCACGGGTGTTGACAGGTCATGTACTTTTCTTAATTTAGGTTCAGAATCTTTAGGTTCTTCTATAATAGGAATTGGGTCAGGTACTATGGATTTCATAACTTTGCTGTCATCTTCTAAAGCTTCCACTATTGTAACACCACTCTTATCAGTATTAGAATTATTAATATTTTCTGTGATATCACTGCTTTTTGAATCTGGATCTTCGATAATCGGTTTTACATCTTCTGTTGTTAATTCTGTAGCTTCAATATTTTGTTTCGCATGCTCAGTATCTGAAATTTCATTAGTAGAGGTATCCATTGGGATATCTTTAGAATCTTCTATGTTTTCTAACATTCCTGAAACCATAGTATTACTTGTCATTAACGAGGTATTTGTACACTCTTCAGAAGTGGCTGTAACATCTGTCTCCAATTCATATGATTTTACAGATGTACATCTTATCTCTTCTGAATTGTCAACGGAAGAAGAATTTTCAATACTTTTATTTTCTAAAGTTAATACTTTTCTACCATCTATGCTCTGTATATTCCTGTGAACATTTTCTTGTGCGTCTGAAATATCAGATTCTGAATTTAATTTTTCATCCTCTTTGTCAATATCCGTTTTTGTAATATTTTCTTCTTCCGTGTTTGGAATTGTAGTGTTATCTGTGGTTATAATTGTCTTCAATTCAGAGCTTGTTTTTAATTCTTCAGTTGTTATGGGATTAGTTGGTTCATCCTCCGTATCCATAACCAATGTACCACTGTTTATTTTATCTTTTACTTTAGAATCATCTAAACAAAATTTGGGTATTTTCGAATCGCCCAATGAAAAGTCCTTAGCTTGAAAAGTTGTTTGTAATTTTTTTGTAGAATCTGTTACATCACTATCCTCACCTTCTAAATCTAAACTTGGTTGTGAACTCGTATCTTCATTCATAATAGCCTCTGGTATGTCATTAACAATACCTGAGGCTTCAGTATTTATCGTAGATAAGTTTTGCATACCTGGAGTAACAGTTGAATCCTGTGGCTGAACTTGAGAGGTTAGATTTGTGACGGATGAAAATTCAGAGGAAGTTTCAATGAAATTAGATACCACACCCTCTGATCTCGACGAGGATAAAGTACCCTTTTCTTGATTCTCATCCGTTCCAAATACACTTTTGACTACTGTTGCTGATGGAATAACGGTTTGCAATAGAGATGTTTCATTTTCCACAGTATGTACACTTATGGTTACGGTGGAAGTACAATCTTTTTCCCAATATTCCATTTCAACATCTTGAGGTGGTTGTGTTACAGGTGCAGCCTCATCTACGGAGCCATTGACCATACTGTCTCCATTTTCACTGCGTCGTGCTATTGGGCCAGGTTCTCTCGTAGATACTACCAATATGTTTTTCTCAATAGCACGCATGAACTTGTCTACACGATTATACTCTTTCCTAGGTGCAGTTAAAAGCTCACAGATTCGTTGAACAGTAAATGGTGCATTAGCAAAGGATTCTAGTCGTTCCAGAAGATTGCTTTTCATTGTGTCATAATTAAAGTGTTCAACGTTAGGACAAGGTGCAAGTTCCAAAGTTGGACAGCTTTCGTAAAAATCTGTCATTACACGAGTTAATTTTTCTCTAAAAAGTGTTTTTATCATTGACCACTGATAAACCGGATCACCTGTTTTGGCGACCCAACAAAGATAGTCTTCCAATTCTCGCGGTATCTCAGTTGGTCGCATTTTCTGAAATTCGTCGAGAGCCTGTAATACCTCCTCCAAATTTTCCATCTTCCTCGCCTACTACACCCCTCCACCTCCTCCGTTTAACCAACAATCGAAATCAAGAATTTGCGTAAATTACTTCCTGAAACCTTCTGTGAAACTTCTTACGAGAAACAACGAAAAACGCAAACACACCGGATGCAAAACAGCAACAATGAAGGGGAGGACGGAGTAATCGCAGGAATACCAACTTATTAAGAACAAATGTTACTAGCGTCTCTCGTAACCAAGTATTTCGATTTATTCAAAATAATTACATAATCGTTATTACGACTACTGATTGGATATTTTTGTATTCGTCAACGAAAATTTTCAAAGATGTAATTGCGCGCGCGCGCGATCTTTCTTTCTAATTATTTATAATTTAAAAATTTAATGAATAATAAATTGGTAATCTATCTTCGTGAGAATTCTTCTTTAAAAATATATTTATAAAACAAATTTTTATTTAATATTTAAAGAATACTATTCTCTATATATCGATTAATTTTTTTTATTTCTATTTTAATAAAATCAATAATGTACGTTACGCGCAAAATGTGCATTCTATTATCCTCACATGATCGATCTATTTTTAGTAGAGGTATAAACCGTTTTATTTTTAAACTTGTATGATTATATACATGAATAAATTGGAAATGAAACATTTTTGATTACACATGCAATTTATATTTCAAATTGTATAGATTTAAAAAATTCTTTCATCACAGCGTTGTTGTTATTATTATTATTGCATTATGTACTTATTATAATATTTTTAGTTCATATAATCAGGGTAAAAGATTTTGTACACTTTATTGAGATATTCTTAATATAAGTTTTGACAGTATATTAAATAGCAATAAAAGAGTAATACATCATATATTAGTAAAAGTGCACAACATATAGATATATAAATATAGTACGCATCATCTACAATCACATATGACACAATATTTTAGTAATGCAGAAATTGATTTGATATTTTTGTGATTTTGTAAGATCATTTAATATGTGTATATATTTATATGTATTTATATAAATATTTATAACGATATAATATTGTTATTTATAATATTTATAATTTTCTGTCATAAGTTATCCTTTAAGTACTCACTTAGTGTACAACAATAATCTTATGATTGCGCGTTCGAAAGTCATAGAGGTCCCATTCGTATTTCAGTCTTGACGCATATGGATCACATCTATGGTTCACGGTTACTATGATCTTTACTACAATGATCCACAACGTTGTCTATGTCTCTTTCAAACACACAATAATTATTTGTTGTTGCAATTTATTGAATAACTTATACAAAATCGAAGTATAACTTCTTGTATTTTCTTTAAAACGTGTGATACTTTTTAAATGTTATAGAATACAATTTGTTGAAGATTTAATTATGACAAATTTAAAACTCATTTTTTCAATTAGTACTGCAAAACTCTACAAAATTACATAGATATTCAACATTTCAATTACATCTCATAATGGAAGAACAATTAACATTAATTAATTATATAAGTATATTTAAATATAAAAAATCTCTTGTAATCAAAAAGAAGTAACAATAATTAAATAAAAGTATAAGTTATAATAGAATTTAAGTAATCTATATGATTATTCTAATGCTACTGCATTAATTTTTTGTACCAAATAAATAAAATATAAATAACAAAATATTAACTTGGGGCACAAAATTTTTATTGCACGTAATAATGTGCATAATTCTTAGAGATTAAGCGTGTAATAATCTATTTAATATGTATACATATTGCATCATGGAAAAGATCATAGTAACAACAAAATTGCATATAAGTTAATTCAATATCATTGAAAACTTATTTTTAATGATCATGTAAATTCACCCTAGACAGATCTTAGTTAATTACAACTATCCAATAAATTTGTTATTAATAATGAATTTATGAATTTATGGAATTAAGCATTAAACCACATAAAATTACTTTATATTTCTGTTTCCTTTTTTTTTTTTTTGAATATTTAAACATCCACAACCATTTTTTTATGAATGTCTGTATTACCAACAACCTAGAAAAATAATTTCATTGGTAATATGAATAAGAAATGTTGATTTTACATGTAAATGTAATTTCTTACCGAACAAAATTCTTCAAAGCTGATCTTGCCATCTTCATCTTTATCAGCAAATAATATTGTTTTATCAACAATTTGCTGTAATTGTGTATCTTTTAAATTATTGCCTACCATCATTTTCAATACTTGAAATAATTCTCCATTACTTATAAAGCCATCGTTATCCATGTCATAAATTCTGAATGCGAATCGTAATTTACTTTCTTTGTCACCCTGTAGAATTATATGTGTATATATATATATATACATATACACACCCAAGGCGATATCAGAGAATAAACTATACATAATTAATGCATTTCATAACATAAATTTAACAAATGCTAACCTTAACGCTAAATTGTGAAACACCATGAATAAATTCTTTAAAATCTACTTCACCATTGCCATCCGCATCAAAAATATCGATGACACGTTGAACTAAAGGGTTTTGTTGTAATTCAGGTAAGGACATGAATTCATCGATACTAAGTGCACCACTGTTGTCCAAATCTAGCTTCCGAAAACGTTTTCCCAATCTTCTAATTTCATCCACATCAACTAAGTCATCAAGCATATTTCATAAGAATATTATTAATTCAATATTTTCTACCATATTAAAATAAATTTATATATTGGATACAAGTAACTATCAATCATAATTAAATGCATATATGATTTCAAAATGAAATATGTGATTTGCATTCTGATATTTGTACTAAATTTTATTGAAATGAATATTTATGAATATATATATATATATATATATATAATGCAAGTTATTTCTAAAAAGAAAATGCAATATTTAATAAAATAAATTATATGTCATACTAATAATTAAAACTTATTTATTTTCAATTGTAAAAGCAAAGCGTCAATATTAGAACATTAACATAAAACATAAACATTAATATTAAAATTTAATTATTGACTTACAGTTAGAGCACAATTCCATAGGCAGAGAACTTTCGTTACCCTATAAAAATACGTAATTCAAGTTTAACGAGTATATATATTTAAAGTGCAATGAAATATTATGCAAATATATATATCATAATGGTATTTTTATAAGTATTATATTCTTTTCTCTATGAAGTTCAAATTCAAGAAGTTCATATAGAAAAATGATAAATATATTTATGAATTTGTATATGGTAAATCAATCGTGAATATTATATTAATATAGAGTATATTTAATTACCATTGTGAATTTATAATGTTATTAATTTATTTTGTAAATATTAGTGCAGGAATTAAAGTTGACTATTAACAGCAGGTTAAACTGTCTGGCAAACGACCAAAACTAGCTAAAAGCATAAAATAAGAAATATAGATAGTGATGTATCAAGATTTTGTTGCATTTACTAAATATAAAGATATGAAACGCACCCTGGTAGGAAAGAAACGAAGAAACTTTTCATTAAGAAAGAAGAACAATTTTCAATTACCAAAATAAAATAAATAAAAATAATTAAAATTTAAATAACTGAATATTTATTGTTTTTATCTTATTTTAAATTTACGCGCTTTCGTGCATCGTACCTTCAGAAGGGATTTATAGATGTTTGATTGGTTGAAGCTTTTAGAGGTTTGATTGTTGCATATTTACAGACGTCTGATTGGTTAAAGATTTACAACCTCTATTTATTCGTAAGTATACAATCTAGATCAGAAGAATTATCTATAAAAATTGTGATTTAAATACTATTTTCCTTTTTTAAAATAAATTTTCATTAAAAATGAAACCAACATTTTAAATGAAATAGAAAGTAATGCATTAAAATGCAAGTAGTATAAAAAATATTTTACTAATTTTCATTGGTTCAAATAGATGACGCATCCTGTAACTGATGTTCTACTTGCGCTCGTTGAACTTTCGTTATATATTTTTATATATATAGTATATTAAAAATCTACAGAGCAGCTGTAGGAAACTTACAGCATATTCCTTCTATATTGCATCTTAATACCAAGGAAGAAAAAATGGAAAGGAAAATTATAATTTATTGAATTTCTAAAAATTATTTATAAAACTTTTTAATATTCGAATATTCTACGTGTTCAAAACAGGGTATATTTTATGTATATATTAATATATATATAGTTTAAGTTTCAACGCGACTTATGATTAATCAAAAAAGTATCTGTGTAAATAGTGACAAGCTGATAGTGAACTACATTTGTGATAGTGATAAAAAGTTCACGTGAATGGAATTCATTACTGTCATGTAGTACAATGACGTATAAACGTCAGGAATATATAAAGTACTTACTTTTTTTTGACTATTATCATGGGATCCAGATTAAGGTAATTCGAAGATTTGTATTATTTACATTATTCTATTATTAAATAACAATCTAGTATCATAAATAAGAATTTAATCATTTATAATAATGCATACACGAATAAATAGTATATATATATACATATATTTTGTCTATACATCGAGATCGTTTATACTTTCTATAACAAATATTTTTTATCAAAATCTAACTTTAAATAGCTTATATTATTTTTACTTATATGCAATTAGACTAATGTAAGTATTATAGATCAAATTTTATTTAAAAATGGATAAATCGTGTCATCATACCAGATATTCTACAGACAGATGGTAGAAATAAATTTATTGATATTTACATTATTTAACTAATATCTTTATTTTTAGTTGTACTATTTATTTTACTATTATATGTATTCAAAATATAGAGTCATAAGTCAAAGCGATTAACTCTGCTTTTACATTTTTCAAAAGTTCGTATTAATACTTCTATTGTATTGTATTCAAATTAAATTGCCCTGACAATTGGTTAATAATATTTTAATTGATCAATCTTTATTAAATATAAAGTTTTTTGGTATAAAAGCATTGTATACTTTAGAATTCAAATGAAGATAAAATAAAATAAAATAGATTCACTTCGTTCAATATTTATTTATATGTATTTTTCAATCTCTCATCTTTCTTTAATCTTAATGTTATATTATATATAGCATTTGTTATGTTTTCAGGGAGGACGTTAAGCAGTTATTTGAATGTTTTTGTGAAATTGCTGCACCTGTTAGCAACAAACAAGCTTGGATTCTACAAAAATATCCAAGTTCTTTTTCAGATGAAGAGATCTTGAAGTCAGTCCCTAAATTTGCGTATCCCTGTGAAATAGAAAAGTAATGTATAAATACATATATATATATATATATATATATATTCTTAATATTTCTACAGATAGAATAAGTAATAAATAAATAAACAACACACCCTTCCACTTCAATCCTTTATATNATATATATATATATATATATATATATAATGTTTCTGTGTTTGTGACATATTGATTATTTAAAAAAATATTCTTTTTAATATTGATTCTCTATGTTAACTGTGCTATTATTATATTGTTCTTAGTTTACTGGTGCAGCACTTCTCATTTGTGCTTACTAGTATAGATTCAAAGTGGACCTTTGGTTTTTGTCGGCATGATCCAAAAACAGAGACCGCATTAGTGGTCTTAAGTGCATTGCCATGGCATGAAACATTTTATAAGTTAGTATTTTATCTATATTTAGACGAAAAACAAAATATATATATGTATTATGTGTTATCTTGTAATCATTTTATTTGTTTTTTAAATAGTTTTAAATATAACGTGTTTTTCTTATATATTTAGATTATTAAATCATATTGCATCTTTAACAAATAATGGAAGTGGGGAAGATCTTTGTAAATTTCTTGAAAAGGTACACAGCTGCGGTGTTCCAATACCTGGGAATTCAATATCTATACCAATACCAAGTCTTAATTCTGTAAGTTATACAAACTTATAATTTTCATATTAATTGCTAATAATATTGAATTTATATTTTATATAAAATTTTAAAAATGATTATTAAAAACTTTAAATTTATAAAATCTTCGTACATTTATTTTTAGAATTTTGTTTGCCAAAGTCCTAAACAATTTCAATTACCTAGTATTCCAGAAAATGTGAGTAATTATATGTACATATTTTATTAATATAAATTAGAAAAATAGTTATAAAGTATACATATGATGAAGAAGCTATATTACTTTATATATTTTACATATGTTTACAGAGAAATTTGACAGAATATTACAGTGCTGTAGATGCTCATAATATGATGGTAGTTTTCGCGTCTATGCTATATGAAAGGCGTATTATTTTTACTTCCAAACGTCTATCAAGGCTAAGTGCATGTGTACAAGCATGCAATGCTTTAATTTATCCAATGATTTGGCAGCACATATATATCCCAGTACTTCCATTATCTTTAATGGATTATTTATTAGCACCAATGCCATTTCTGATAGGTGTACCTGCTCCAACACTTCAGGTAATTATTACTTGATTATATTTTTAATTCATATCAAAAAAGGCTTTAATATAAAAACATTTTATAATTTTTTAATTTTAGAGAGTTCACAAAAGTGATTTAGGTGAAGTAGTTATTTTAGATGCTGATAATAACACCATTGAGTCTCCTTTTCAAGATTTGGAATCTTTACCTCAAGATGTAGTATGTATAAATACTTATTTATGTATTTCAAATAATAAATCTATTTAAAGGAACTATAGTTCATTTTTAAAAATAAATAAAAAGTATGTTTACTTCAGGTAACAAATTTAAAAAAAGCATTGCGTAATAGACCTGCCTTACTCGGGGATGGAGTATCAAGAGCATTTTTACGAGCATTAGTACAACTGACTGCAGGATATAGAGAAGCATTAACTTTGCAACAAGGAGAGCGTATCACGTTTGATCAAAATGCATTTGTAGAAAGTAGACCATCTTCTATGCAACCTTTTCTACGAAAAATGTTAGAACTTCAAATTTTTCAACAAGTATGTGTAACTTGTAAGTTTTTTACTAACAAATTTCCAAATGCTGGATCATAACAATTTTCAAAATTATTTGTATATCTTAATGTATTAATTGTATAACAAGGTATTGATTAAAAAACAAAAATACATTTTTTATAATATATTTTTTTTAGCAACTCCATGTGTTATAAAGAAATCAATATTGGAACAATAGAATATTATGTATGTTTTAGTTTATAGAAGAGAGATTAAATATGCTCAATTCAGGACTTGGATTCTCAGATGAATTTGAGATGGAAGCATGCAGTTATTCAGTCAAATCTAGCAATAAATTTATGCAACAATATAGAGAATGGACTTACACCATGCGAAAGGAAAGCTCAGCATTTTTCCGTAGCGTGAAGGATAAAGTAAGTTGTTTGAAAAACAAATTGTTATAATTTGTCTTTTGTTATTCTATTAATTGATAAGTAAATATTCCAATAAAATTTACTTAATCGTAGGCAAATCCAGCTGTAAAATATGCAGTTAAATCTGTAAGTTTAAATAATTTGTACATAGAAATATATTTAATGGTAGAAGTAGTAGTAAAAATAATCATTTACAAACATTTGTTTAAATTTCTAGTTTTAATTTTGCATTAAAATGAAATATAGTTAAAAAATAAAATGTATTTCTGTAAAAATTAATTACAGGTCAAAGATAGAGGAAAAGATATGAAAACTGCATATAAAGGATTGAAGTGGAAGGGTGTGTTGTTTATTTATTTATTACTTATTCTATCTGTAGAAATATTAAGAATATATATATATATATATATATCTTTATTAAATAATTATTAACAAATATTTTGATTTAGGACGATCAAATAGAAGTGAGAATAGTATGAGATTTCATCAACCAAGATCTGCGCCTAGTTCGCCTACACTAGACAGAAATCCTATTGGATTTACAGCACCACCTAAGTCTCCCAATGGATTTACTGCTACAACTAGTTATAGAAAGGAATTACGTTTGCGTAATAGCAATTTTACAGACCCGAGGTAAAAATTATATTTTTTCAGCAATACGAAAATACCATTTAATAGATCAATAATTATATAATAAAAATATGTAATACTTTTATTAAAAATGCGTGTTTTATTTATCCTAACAGAAAACAATACTCACCATTAAGTCCAAGTTCTCCTGATGAATCGGAACCACCACCAGAACGTATAAATATAGATCTTATGCATGAACTTCGGGATGTAATATATCCAAATACACCACCTGTGGATAGAACTGTAAGTAATTTATTCAATAGTATTTTGTTTTGTCTAATGAAAACTTTTGGAGAAGTTATAAAACTTTAAAACTCTCTTCTTGTTTCCACGATTTAATTGAACTATACAGTTTAACATAGACATATATATTCACTATCACTTTGAGCATATTTAATGAAAAATAATACAGGTAATAGCATGATGCATGTACATAACATTATATGTCAATTA